CTGGCTGTTCTCAGTGTTCCTCATCTGTAAAATGGGAGCAATAATTTCCTTCCTGTTTGCATCTCAGAGGTGTGGGTTGGGCAACTCCCCTGGACTAATGAAGCAGTGCAGGGGTAGGCCAAGAATCCTATGGGGGGAGAGTGAGAGAGTTTTCAATTCTTTTTTGTCCCTCTGAATAGGTCAAGGAGAAAGTCTCCTTTTGATGCCAGGATGTCTGAATACCCAACACTTCCTGATCTCTCTTCTGAGCAAAGCTTTGGGCCTGGGGCCCAGAGCCTCCATCTCAGGCATTCCTCTCTGTCTTAGTTTTCTAGTGCTGCTATAACAGAAACACCACAAGTGGACGGCTTTAATAAGGAGAAATTTATTCTCTCACAGTCTAGTAGGCGGGAAGTCCAAATTCAGGGCATCAGCTCCAGGGGAAGGCTTTCTCTCTCTGTCAGCTCTGGGAGAAGGTCTTTGTCATCAATCATCCCCTGCTCTAGGAATTTCTCAGTGGTGGGACCCTCTAATTTCTTGGTGGTATGAGGTCCCCATGTCTCTCTGCTTGCTTCTCTCTTTTATATCTGAAAAGAGGATTGGCTTAAAACAAAACCTGATCTTGTAGATTGAGTCCTGCCTCATTAACATAACTGCCACTAATCCCATCTCATTAATGTCATAGAGGTAGGATCTACAACACATAGGAAAATGACAAAATGGTGTACAATCACACATACTGGGAATCATGGACTAGCCAAGTAGACACATATTTTTGGGGGAGACAATTCAATCCATAACATTTTACTCTTTGGCCCCCCAAAATTCATGTCTTTGCCACATGTAAAACACATTCACCCCATCAAATCATAGCAAAAGTCTTAAATCAACTCCAAGTCCAAAATAAAAAAAATTTCCTCTTCATCTGTGGAATCCAGAATACAAGTTATCTGCTTCCAAAGTAAATGATGGAACAGGCACACGGTAGACATTTCCATTACAAATGGGAGAAATTGGAAGGAAGGAAGGGATAACAAGCACCAAGCAAGTCAGCAGAACACTTTGCACTAGCCCTCAAGGCTTGAAAATAATCCTTTGTTCTCTGACACTGTTTAGACAATGACCCTACCCTCCAGACTCTAGGCATTGGCCACATTCTCTGGATTCTGAGTGGTGGCCCCTCGGCCCTGGGTTTCAGCTACGCTTTCCAGGCCCACTGGAAGGGCAACTCTGCTTCCTCAGCTTTGGGTAGACCCATTCTCCTAGTCTATCTGAGTGGTGACTCACCCTTTGATACTGAGGCAGCTTGGTTTCCTGTGTTCTTTGTCT